TGGAACGCCCACGCGCCCCAAATGCAACGAACGCGTGTCCACGCGCCCCAAATGCAACCAACCCGTTTGATAGATAGATGGATAGGCAAGTAGGCAAGAAGACACGCAGGAAAGTAGGCAGGCAGGTACCCGCAGGACGGAAGATGGGTCAAGGAGGGAGGTAGGTAGACCGGTAGGTAGGTAAGTAGGTAGGTAAGTAGGAAGGGTAGATACATAGGTAGAGAGGCAGATAATTAGACAGATACTCATACAAGAAAGAATCACTATTTGTCGCTATCTAGCAATGAATGAAGACGTCACCCGAAATAGCATGCATGCATGCAAAATCTTACAAGCAGTCATAGCATTTACCTCTGCCCAAAAAATATATGTACACTTAAATATAAATATACATAAAACATACATACATATATTCATACATGCATACATACATACATACATCCATACATACATGCATCCATGCATACATACATACATACATACATACATGCATGCATACATGCATGCATATCAATACACACACATATTCTACCATCTGCCTGGGTTCGGGGTTCGCGTCATCAATCGAAGTTCCCTTAAATCCGAAAGACTCCTTCCGCAGTCTCCAAGGATTCCAAAACATCCAAAAAGTTCAAGCTTTCAACATCAACAAACTCCCAAATTATCAAGAGTCACCAAAATATTCTGCATGTGTCTGGCGATGTAGGTGCTGAGTTTGTGGCAATTCCGTTTTTTTTTCGGATTGGGACTGGAAGTTTTGGAAATAGTCTCCAGATTGGTATATAGCCTGGAGCGCGTTTTATCCAGTTACTACTCATTAATTATTGTCCCGTTCTCCAAAGCATGTGCAATATGTATGTCGCGATTGCACCTCTCAAGCTCGATGGGTTTGGGTTGAAGCCCTCCAGCTAAACGTGCATCTGTTAGTACAGTGGATATACCAAGGTTCACATAGCTGAAATAGCAATCGCACAGGGATGAAGTACAAAGATTTATCGACGGCTCCAAAGCAAGATGCACATTTTCACAGGTTCATAACGTGGCACGGGCTCCAGCCCGTCAGCATTCTGTAAGTATGGATTGTCAGACTGATAGAAACCTGGATTTGCAACACTGGCCGCTCCTTCAACATTTCTGTTGGTCGGTATGCGTAGCCCCCGATTGAGCATGGAAGCTTCCTGGGTTATCTTTTACAGGGATGATACGTATTGGAACGAACACTGTGAGAAACATGCATAATCATCCATAGAGACTTAGCTGCTGAGTATTGATAATGTGTTCGAATAGGACTCACACAGACATGTGCACTCTCCCTGTCCCTGTCCCGCTCCCGCCCTCCCTCCCTCCCTCGCTCTCTCTCTCTCTCTCTCTCTCTCTCTCTCTCTCTCTCTCTCTCTCTCTCTGTCTCCCTGTCTCTGTCTCTTTGCCTCTGTCTCTTTGTCCCTGTCGCGCTGTATCTCTCTCTTTCTCCGTCTCTCTCTCTGTCTGTCTCTCTGTCTGTCTCTTTGTCAGTCGCTCTGCCTGTCTCTCTGTCTGTCTCTCCGTCTGTCTCTCTGTCTGTCTCTCTGTCTGTCTCTCTGTCTGTCTCTCTCTGTCTGTCTGTCTCTGTCTGTCCGTGTCTGTCTGTGTGTGTCTGTCTGTGTCTGTCTGTCTGTGTCTGTCTGTCTCTGTGTCTGCCTGTGTCTGTCCGTGTCTGTCTGTCTGTGTCTGTCTGTCTGTGTCTGTCCGTGTCTGTCTGTGTGTGTCTGTCTGNNTCTCTCTCTCTCTCTGTGTGTGTGCACAAGCCAATGTAGCCAGGGGACGGCCCAAATGAAGACGCGCGTGAGCGACGAGATCGGGGTGATGCGCAAGGGCTCCATCTTCGGGGAGGCGACGGCTAGTTTTTGTCTTTTTGCTGCTACCCTGGTCTTCTTCCAATGCGGATCCTAATTATCTGGCTCTTTATTCCCGTCTCCCACCTTGCAGGGTCACCACCTTCTGTCCCGTCGGCTTTCTTCTTCGTAGCTGCTTTGTTTCTGCGCGAGACGAACGGCTTGGGCCTCTTCCAGAGTTCCATGGCCACGGTACGGGAGCTTAGACCCGCACATGCTCGGGGCCGCCTGCGGCCGCCTGTGGCCTGGTCTGGCCTTCCGTCAGGTCCAGGTTGGCACTGAGAAGGTTCGGCTCCTCCTGCTGCCGCACCTTGCTATGAAGCAGGCAGCTTCGCTATCTCTCGCTATCTCTCGACTCCGTCACTCCTTTCCGCATCGCAGGCGCTTGCAACTGCAGCCGCAAAGTCCGAGGCGGATGGCCTCTGCATTGCGGGTACAGTGCGGATTCTGCCGGAGCGCCCATGCAGGGCATCACAGATGCCTTCGAGAAGCTGGTCGCAGGGCGGCGTGAACAGGCCAATTTGCCTGAGGGATTTACTGCCGCAATTTGCCTCTCCTCTGCGTCGGGGGGTCGTCTCGGGGTGCGAAGGTTGAGCGCGGAGTCCCCCTCTGCGCCATGGGCATCCTGGCCCAGAAGAGCGACGTCCGGGTGCGCGCCATCGCGGGCCGCTCGGTGTGCGTCCCTCCTTCGCCGAGCTCTTTGTCGCCTCTCCTTTCAGGCGCTGCTCGCCGAGCGTGTGGACCTGGAGTGCCCGCCTCAGAGCGCGGCGCTGGACATCCCCGGCCTCGGCTCTGGTGAGGACAGGCGAGGAGTGGGCGCCCATCGCCGATGCCGAGCCTTCCGGGCCCTTCTTCGGCGTGCTGGCCGCAGGCGCGGCATCGCAAGAGCACGCAGAGAGAGGGGGGGGCAACTTTGGGGGCTTCCCGACAAAAAGTTCACGCAAGACCAAGACCCAATGCTGCGGGCCCTTGCCGTTCCAGGTCGAGTCATGGTCGAGATCGGCCCGGCCAAGCTCCCAGGTTTCGCTAGAGCGAGGCGCACGCAGAGAGGCCAAGCCCAAAACCAGTAAACAAAACAGAAAAGCACACGGAGTTTTGTGTCAACGGAGAGGGTGTGTGATCCGCGCTGCGCCGTGTCTTTTTCAGTGCTGAGGACCGTCACATCGTACTGCAGTTGACTGCAGGTGCCATTTTCCCCGAGGTGCGGCCTGCCGTCCTCGGAACCATTCGGAACCACGGTAGCCCCGAGCATAAGCGGAGCACCGGCTGAACTCGACCTTGCAGGGGCTCTTGGCGACCTACGGCGCTGTCTGCCGAGCGGAGACAAACTGTGAAGTCCATGCCTCAGACGCCAGTCAGTGTTGAAGTATCCCGAGCCACCGTGCTTTTTGCCAGGGACGCCTCTCATGTCTGCTTTCGGAGCCTTGTGCTTGCTTTCTGCGAGGCGTACCGAGTGCGCTGGCACGACTTCTACATGGCTGTCCCGAGCCCCAAAAGACGAGCGTCGATGTGGACGCATGCCTGCTGCGGTGTTTCGGTGAGGTCGGCCTGAGTATCCCAGCGGCCAACGACTGGCACGGGCCCTCGAATTTCAGTTCGAACCGAGCCCAGCTCTGGCTTTGATCTGAGATGGTGCAAAGGTTCTGGAAGTTCCGGGTGCAAGAGAAGGCGCCGCATGCCATGGCCGCTGGAGAGGCACTTCGGGTCTCCATCCGTGTTTGCTGCGTCTGAGCCAGGGGACAGTGGAGCGACTCACACGCAGGCCAAGAGCCGCGCAGCACCACCGGAGGTTTGTCTTACTTTGCCGCGCGCGAGGCTTCAATCGGTCCAAGGCCTCCTGGACGTGAGCCTTCCGCATGCCAAGGATGTGGAGATCAAGGCCACTAGCGGCCAATCTCCAATCTCCGAGCGTCTGAGCCTCGCCAGGCCTGGAAGGACCAGCGGGGCCGTCGCATGAGCCAGGCGAAGCGGAGCGAGAGCCACGTCCTCTTCGAGGCTTCTGGTGGGGGTGTCCTGGTGTCCTAGGGAAGATAAGCCCAGCGAGACATGCTGGCCAGGCCCTGCCACGGGCTCCACTTCCACTCCTTGATCCCGCCCGGTTCGTGGCCAGGGTTCTTGAGCTTGGCCAAGGATCCACACGGCGGCAGTGTGTCAGCTGTCGACGGTAACGCTTGTTGAACTGTGCAGCGATGTCCGTGAAATGATGGGAGTGTCTGAGGCCGCCAAGAAGTCCTTGTCAGAGCTGAAATCCAGGACTGTCTTCTGCGCCACGGCTGCGGCTGCGGAAGTTCTTTTGCTGCCTCGTGCAGGATGCCGGATTGGGAAGCTCAAACAGGCCCGACGCGCTTTTTCCGCATCGCCGTTTGCCTTTGAGTCTGAAACTTCCCGAAGAGCCCGGGAGGACTCTTGGCATATTCAGGTGGCAGACTTCTGCTGCCGAAGCTGGATGAGAAAGGCCTCCCTTCTCTGCATGCTGATTGAGTCTATCACCGATAGATGATGGTTTCCACTCTGCCACGACTTGTGGTGCTGCTGCTCCACCACCTCCACCACCTCCACCACCTCCACCACCTCCACCACCTCCACCACCTCCTCTTCCTCCTCCTCTTCCTCCTCCTCCTCCGACTAAAGTCTCATAGTCATTGCTACTACTAAGTTACTATTACGACGACAACCACTACCACCACTACTATTACCACTACTGCTTTTTCTACTACTACTACTACTAC